GGCTATACATACTGACTTGTGTGCCCCTGGCTAATTGGAAAATGCTCATTTTAATCACGTTGGATTTAATTAATATTTTCTCTTTTTGAAGTTAATCAAAAATAACAGCTAAATTCTTTTAATAAAATCGATTAGATTTTATTACAGACATTTTCAAATAATTTCAAAGCAAATTAAAAGCCCTAAAATCTGGAAATTAATTTTATTAAATAAAATGTACATATTAATATTAATGAAATCTACAAGGCCACAAAATGACTTTTTACAGTGTAGTGGAGTGATTCGTTAAACTTTGCAGTGACACCACAAAGCTGTAAACTGATTTTCTTATCAATCCAGACTGCACATTGAACATCTGTGAGATCTGCAAATACACACACTACCGATTTAATGCTGAAATTCATTCATAGTGCAGCCTTAATGTTCAGTTATATTTTATTTCTATAAAGCTTTTGGGCTCTATTTTGTCGGTCCATGAGCAGAGCGCAAAACGCAGGGCACAAACGCTTTCAGGGCGTGTCAGAACGTATTTTTGCTAATTTAAGGATGGGAAAATCCGCTTTGCGCCATGGCGCATGGTCTAAAAGGGTTGAGTTTATTTTCTTAATGAGGTATAGGTGTGTTTTGAGAATAAACCAATTAGAGTCTCATCTCCCATTCCATAAGCGCCTTCGCTATTTACAGGACGTAAAGTAAGTCTAAGTGGAAAAAATGAGCATTTCACTAGCAAACAGTTAACAGTTTTTTTTAACAGAAAACTGTTAAACAGAGCATCTACTGCATGAGAATGAGAGATAATGGATCTACTTTCACTTTCGCTCTTGGATAGGGAAACCTTTACGCACAGACATCAATTAGTCTATAAATAAATACTTTTGTTTGTTAAGCGCAAATACTCGTTTCAAAACTATTTCTAAATTCAGTTCTAATTTCCAGCAAACGAATAAATGAACAATAATAACGAAGTGTGCTCAAAAACCTGAGTTATATCCTAAAACACATGCTGTGCCCATATGGTCTAAAACCTGACAGGTGGGCAAATCTAAGCTTGTTTTTAATAAAACAAATATAAATATGGATATAATAAATAATACTGCTAATAATAATAACATTATACTAAAGCAAATTATTATGAATGAACTGAAAAAGCCTCCCGAGATGAAGAAGACATAAAAGCAGGGATTTTTCATATTTATGTAGGCTAGAAAATAATATGTTTTGTAATATTTTAATCCTTTATATTTATATCCTATATCTATTCTTATTATATCCTATATATATTCCCTTAATATTAACATTTTTTCATATGTAAAGATATTTGCCTATTGCTCTCTTGTGTGTATTAAGCAGTGTGTAAGCGAGGCGCAACTCTGCGCTGGAGTTTAGACCGGGTTAGTTTTGGTCTAATGAAAAATCTATTCTCAAAATAGCAACGTGCCAGCGGTCCGCCTCAAAACGCCTTCCTTTTTAGACCAGAACGCCTATGGGCGCACAAATGAGCGCTAATGCATTTGCTATTTAAACAGCCTAGCGCAACGCCTCAAAACGACTCTTGCGCCAAGCTGAAACTAGCAAAAGACTACTGCGTCACGCCTTGCGCCACATTGCGCCGGGTGTATGATAGGGCCCTTTGTGTCAAAACAGCTTTACCGAGCTGGGCGCTTGCGTTTACGTCACTTTGTGAAGTTTATTCATAAACTAATTTAGAGAGGATCACGTGATTATGATTGGACACGGCTGGTTCTGCATTAGCATGTATGATCCACCAATCAGGCCATTCCTAACCCACTATGAAGAGCCAGGGTTTTCACTACAGTCATCTTTGCTTTGAAGAATCCCCCCTTCCACCCCTACCTCTTCACCTTTCACTCCATAGAGCGGCACGGTGGCCCAGTGGTTAGCACTGTTGCCTCACAGCAAGAACATCACCGGTTCTCGTCCTCCAACAGGCCGGTGGTCGTTTCTGTGCATATAGTTTGCATGTTCTTCCCGTGCTCGCGTAGATTTTGCCCATTTCCTCCGGTTTCCTCCCAGATTCCAAAACATGCACAACAAGTGAATCGATCAATCTAAATTTAACACTACAGTCAATCTCTAATCCTGCAGCAGATCTCTTCATAGCATTCATTTAGGTCATCAGCTCTTATCAAGGGGGAGTTGTCGAGATCTACCTGAGCTCAAGGCTCCCCTCTCGCCCTGCAAATGGGAGGGAGCCCAGGGCTCAAGGGCCTTTTGAGCTCGGGGCTCTCTCCCGTGACAGCATGCCAAACTTGCTTATAATCAATCATCAGCTAAGTGTGAACTCTTGAAATTGCAATTAAATCCTAATCTAATCATGACAAACGTTATATTGCTGAAAAGGCCTAAAATGTGTGAATGCATATTTACCTCCTTTTCTTTCTTTTTTTTTTTTTTTACATAAGAAGAGTATTAGATTAAACTTTACTGTCACCCTACAACCTGTGGAACTATGATAACACTAAAAAAAAATTATAATATTGTAGTCTTAAAAAAGCAATCATGACAAGTTATATATCATTAGAAAGCTTTAAAAATTCTAGTTTCCATATCTGGTGGCAGATTTTTGATTTTGAGAGATATTAATGAGCAACAGATATTTATTAAACTTAATCTCATCAGACTTTTAAAGCATTAATGTTCCACTGCAATACCCGTGTCAACTTTTTGGATTCTAAATTAAAATCAAATATCACTAAATTACCCATACAATTTTAAAATTTGACGTCTACTTTACTAATATGACCAAAAGTATTTAAAAAAAATATTGTTTAAATCCCTTATAACTAGCACTTATGTGGTCACCAATGTAAACCAAATGCCACCTGGTGGTCATGTCTGGTACTGTACACAAACAAAATGCTACTGAAAGATAATTTTTTGGGGAGATCAACTTTAAATTTTGAATAACTAGTTAAGACATTTGACTGATTTTAGGTTAAAACTGATTTTGCACAAATGACATATTTAATAATATGTAATACAATATACATTTACTGTGTTATTATTGTCATGAAACATAATTGCACATACATATTTTTTATTTACCTTTTTTAAAGGTTTTCACTTCAGCTACAATCTGACAGATATCCTATTTAAAAGGAGACCAAGCATGAATCTATGCAGCAAAACATTGAAGATTGACAATCATTTTTAAGTTGAACATGTCATATGTTTAAAAAGAGGACAGCGTTAATATAGACGGAGAAAAGATGAATTAAAAAGTGATACGAATATTTCAGATATTGACTGTACATGCATGAGATCTTCCTCCCTATAGATGTGCATTGAGCTCAGGACTGTACATGTGTGTTCGTCTGTGGATGTAGAAGCTGATGGTGTGGCTTTTGCACTTCTCCAGTCTGTATACATTTAACTAAATGATAACACTACCTAACAAAAGTCTTGTGGTCGATGTCAGTTGTAAGTGCAACAAATAACTCGACTTCTAGTTTATTATTTTGAAAAGTATCTGAAGGTGGATTTTTCTGATAAATCGTGTTGATCTGCATCCCAATCATCACAAATACTACAGAAGACCTACTGGAACCAGCATGGAGCCAAGATTCTCACAGAAATCAGTCAAGTTTGGTAAAGGAGACATCATGGTTTGGGGTCTACATTCAGTTTGGGGGCGTGCGAGACATCTGCAACATCAACAGCCTGAGGTATCAAGACATCTGTGCTGCCCATTACATTACAAACCACAGGAGAGGGACAATGCTCCAGAAGAATAGCGCTCCTCATACTTCAGCCTCCACATCAAAGCTCCTGAAAGCAAAGCTGCTCTAGGATTGGCCAGCCCAGTCACCAGACATGAACATTATTGAGCAAGTCTGGGGTAAGATGAAGGAGGAGGCATTGAAGATGAACACAAAGAGTCTTGATGAACTCTGGGAGTCCTGCAAGAACACTTTCTTTGCCATATCAGATGACTTTATTAATCAGTGATTTGAGTTTGAGCCTCAGCTGGGTCAGGTGGCATTTCTATGTGGAGTTTGCATGTTCTCCCCCCGTTTGAGTGGGTTTCCTCCGGGTGCTCCAGTTTCCCCCACAGTCCAAAGAGATGCAGTAGGTGAATTGGGTAGGCTAAATTGTCTGCAGTGTATGTGTGTGAATGAATGTGAATGGATGTTTCCCAGTGATGGGTTGCAGCTGGAGGGGCATCCACTGCGTAAAAAAAAAACGTGCTGGATAAGTTGGCGGTTCATTCCGCTGTGGCGACCCCAGATTAATAAAGGGACTAAGCTGAAAAGAAAATGAATGAATGCACTTAATAAGTTCATTTGAACGTTTTAAAGTTCAGCTACAATCTGAAAAGGGTCTTCTTTAAAATGAGACCAAGCATGAATCTATGCAGCAAAATGTTGAAGATTGACTGTCATTTTCAAGTTGAACACGTCATATGTTTAAAAACATTACAGTTTTAGCATAGTTTAACCCTTGTGTGTGCTGTTGGGGATGTTTTCATCCACTCTTGGGTGATTTTGAGTCTTAATTTGGCCATAACTTTCTCTGTGAAATGCAAATGGACTATTTTTTTTGGTGACAAATCTTATTTTGACATATTTTGGGTAAATGTTTTGGCATTTTTTAAAAACTTGACATTTTGAAATCGCAAATTTCACCTCAACTGAGAAAACCAGCAACAATCAAGAAAACATGATGATCTGCCGTCATGGCTTTGCAATCAATAAATGTGATTATAATGGAAGTCAATGAGGCAAAAACCGCACCAACATAACCAAAGGGGAGTCAATGTGAACAGCACACAAGGGTTAAAGTTAAAAAGAGATGAGAATCTTTCAGATAATGACTGTAGATGTTCCTCCCTATAGACTGTACATGTGTGTCCGGCTGTGGATGTAGAAGCTGATAGTGTGGCGTTTGCACTTCTCCAGTCTGTATACATTTAACCCCTGCTTTGTGCATGGGACAATGGCAGACTCCTCCCTCGCTGCTGACCCGGGGCTTTTGCTGGGCCCTTTGCCAGGGGAGGCTTTAAAAGGGACCATGCACATGCCCAGCTTTCACTCTCACATCAGGACGTCCCAAGGGCATCGAAGCGAGGTGAGTTCTGCTCCGCTACGGCCCCCGTTTCTGTCCCCAAAAAACCTCCCTCATTTATTCATACTGACACCGAGAAGCCTTTGCGTTTGGTCTGATAATGTGAGAACGGCTCCGAAAAGTTTGCACATGCTCAAACTGAGGATTTTTGTAATGTTCATGTTGCTGTTTAGAGATGTACAGATCGGCTTGTTCATTTATTATTGATATTAGTTACGTTTTTAATGTGAGTTTTTAATATTTTGATAGTAGTTGTGTTTATTTTGAGTTTTGTTTTATTTTGATTGCAGTTATGGTTTAATTTGAGGTTGTTGTTTTTTTATTGCAGTTATGTGTTTAATTTGAGTTTTTTTTTATTTTGATAGTAGTTATGGTTTAATTTTTTTTTTTTGATTGCAGTTATGTGTTTAATTTGAGTTTTTTTATTATTTTAATAGTAGTTATATGTTTAATTTGAGTTTTTTTTTATTTAATAGTAGTTATGAGTTTAATTTGAGTTTTTAAATTATTTTAATAGGTTTTATGTGTTAAATTTGAGGTTTTTTTTTGCTTTTCTTCAAGCAGACGAGATGACTCACCACTGCACCAAGTTTTCTGGCCATTGGAAGGTATGTATGACAGGCATAAAGAGATGCATAAGATCTGAAAGAAATAAATGCTGTCATCTGCAAGGTTTTGCTTGTATTTGATTAGTATAATTAGCATTTTTAAATCGATTAATTTTGCATGATTTTAAGGTTTATTGTGAGCCTTTCTTTATTTTGCTTTTGTGTTGGATTAAATTGGTGGTGTTTTTGTTTGCATTACATTAACATTTGCATTTTTAGGAATGATTAAGGTTTAATGTGAGCATTTTTGAATAATGTTGTTTGCATAAAATTAAAGTTTTAGCATTTGATTTCTTTGCATGAAATGATTTATTTATCTTCTTGTTGTTTTTGCAAATTTCTATTATGAAATCACACTTAAAATGGTTGTATTTTGCATGAAATTAAGGTTAATTGTAATATTTGTTGAATTTTCTTTTGAATTTGAGATTTTTTTGCATGAAATTAACATTTGCTGTGTTTTGCTTTCTCCATCATGCGTGTGTTTTTGCATTAGGATGTTAAGTTAAGATGTAGTGTCACCTTTTTTGCAATGTTTTTTTTTTGCATCAAATTAACATTTAATGTGATATTTTTTTGGATCTTTCACATACTTAATTAATTTGATTTATTTGCATGAAATTACTAATTTATTTTTTACAATTTGTATTATGAAATCACATCAAAAAAGTACTCTTTTGCATTAGATTAAAATGTTTCTTTTGGATAAAATTGTATTTGCATGAAATTAACAATTTGTCTGATGCTTTTTTGCAGTTTTGCTTTCTCCAGCATGCATGTGTTTTTGCATGAAGTTAAGATGTAGTGAGATTTTTTTTTTGCATAAACTTTTTTGCCGTTTTGCTTTTTGAGTACGAAATTAAGGTTTAATGTGAGCATTTTTGTTATTTAGCATAAAAAAATAGTTTCAACTGACTCTTTTTGCATTAAATTAAGTTTTAATGTGATCCTTTTCGCATCTTTCACATAAAATTAGAATTCATTTTTTTTGCAAATTTCTATTATGAAATCTCATTTTAAATCTTTCATATTTTGCATGAAATTAAGTTTAATTGTAATATTTGTAATTTTTACTTGACTGTAAAATTAACATTGGCGTGACTTTTTTTGCAGCTTTGCTTTCTCCATCATGCGTGTTTTTGTATGAAATTGACATTTGCATCTTGCTTTTTTGTAGAAAATTAAGGTTTAATGTGAGCAGTTTTTAATTGTGTTGTTTGCATAAAATTAAGGTTTAATTTTATAACAAAAACTGACTTTTATGCATTACATTAGATCTTTCTTAGATCTTTTACATGAAATTAAGATTCATTTGATTTCTTTGCATGCAATTATTGATTTATTTATTTTAAAAAGTAATATTTTGCAAAAAAAAGTAATCTTTTACATGAGATTTAAGTTTATTGTATGATTTAAAATTTTTATTTGCATAAAAATTAACATATTGTATGGCATTTTTTGCAGTTTTGCTTTCTCCAGCATGCATGTGTTTTTGCATGAAGTTCCAATTTTGTGTCGTCTTTTTTGCTTTGCTTTTCGCATAAATTTAACATTGTGTATTTTTTTCTTTTCTAATTTGTACTTTTTAAAAAGCTTTTTGAGCTGACATTTTCTGCATAAAATGAATTTATATTTAAATTCTTTGCATCTTTTACATTTTCTTGCATAAAATTAAGATTTCTACATATCAACGATCCATGTGACTTTTTTGTATTATATATATATATATATATATATATATATATATATATATATATATATATATATATATTAATAATAATTTAAAAAATAATTTTAATTAATAAAAAAAATTTGCATTAATTTCAGAATTAATGTTTTATTTTTGGAGCGTTTATTATGCATTTATTTTTTATTAGGTTTTTTTTTTTTTTTTTTTGCATGAAATTAATCTTTCATGTGGTTTCATTGCTTTATATTCTTTAACATGAAATCAAATTTTCATGAGACCTTAATTCACCCATGCGGGTCACTTAAGATTACTATTTCATGTACAAAGACAGTTAAAATGTAATGTTAATGTGCTTATCTGTGAACTGATTAGTTACGCTGTTATTTTAGTATACTTTAAAAACTGATTATTGGAACTGATCAGTCACAGTGTTTTTTGAGTATACTGTATAAAGTGATTATAAGCCTTTGTTGTTTCGGAAAACACTGCTGCCGTTTTTCTACTTCAGAATATAGGACTGCAATTATTGAGCTAATTAAGTTAAGTTTGTTTTACTAAAATTAAAAACAGATGCTTTTATCCATCTTTTTTTAATATAAGAGATAGAGCCAAATTTTTAACGAGATTTCTGGTATCATTATTTTTAGCTGTACAAGACCACTCCTTTGGCTTGAAATTGTTAACAAATATTTATTGTATATTCTAAAAATATATGGCAAGCAGAATGCGATCAGTGCTCAAATATTAAAACCCAGCCATTAGTAGGAAGAAAATGAATTTGTTCTTTTGATTTAAGCTATGATAAGGTCATTTATACAAGATGTCTTATAGGAGGCACTACATTTACTGGAGACACTAGATTTTACATTTAACTTGGATACTCCAAAACGTGAGTCCAAAATAAAAAATTAAGCATTAATGTGATTTTTTTTGTGTGTGTGCATCGTGTACGTAAAAATGAAGGTTTTGCATTACATTATGGATTAGATTTTTGCATGAAATTAGGATATTTTTTCATTTACAATATTTATTTTGGTCTTTACAAGTCACACTGTTAAAAAACATATTTGGCATGAAATTTAAGTTATTTATGAGATTTTTACTTTACTTTTCTTAAAGATTAAATTAGGGCTTTATTTGACTTTCCTATGAAGTTAATATTGTCTTAACTTCACGACTTTCCCTTGAAGATAAGATTTAGCATGGACTTTTTTGCATGAAATTAACATTTAGTGTGACTTTAGCCAAGTTTGGTCTGTTTTTGCCATGAAACAGCCATTGAAGCTGATGTGGCAGTAAGCTCAAAACTCTCAATAACAATTCTTCCTACATTAAGTTAACTCATTATAGGACACTAATTAAAATACTCAATGGAAATTCCCCTGGAGGGTTATTAGTGGTTATTACAAGACACCCAAACAGGGGTGTCCAACACAATTTACCTCCAACAAACCTGCCTGGAAATTTCTAGTATACCTAAAAATAGCTTGAATAGCTGGTTTAGGTGTGTTTTATTGAGGTTGGAACTAAAATATGCAGGACACCGGCCCTTAATAATCAACGTCAATGAAGTTACCATATATGGTTCTTCTTCATCCAATAAAGGGTTAATGAGTTGTTATAAATGTGAACACAGGGATTCGCATTGCTAATTGTTTATAACTTGTAGGCTACTTAGTGTACATCCCGTGTGTGCCCACATGAAAAACATACTATAGTAAATATAGTAAATACTGTTTTTGAGCCATACTATAGTAAAGTGTATTATACTAATTTACTATTGTTCAGTTAATACGTAATTATTTATTAACTGTAGTGAGCTGATAAACCGTAATAAATTCTGTAGTTTACTTTAGTTTTTACTACAATAAACTGTGGTGTGTTGTAATATAATATATCGTATAGTTGTAAAAAATGACAGTATTGTGTCATTTGTTTATATTATTATAGTTGTTGGTTACCATAGCAACTATAGAATCGCCACAACAGATATATTTTTATATTACTATAGTTGTTGTTACCATAGCAACTGTAGAATCGCCACAACAGATTTATTTTTTATATTACTATAGTTGTTGTTTTCCCATAGCGACTATAGAATCACCACGATCGATTTATTTGCTTATATTAATATAGTTATTGGTTACCATAGCAACTATGGAATCACAACAGTTTTATTTGCTAACATTACTGTAGTTTTCGTGTTACCATAGCAACTGCAGAATCACCACAAAAGATTCATTTGTTTACATTACTATAGTTGTTGTGTTTCTATAGCGACTATAGAATCACCACAACCGATTTATTTGCTCACATTACTATAGTTGTTGTGTTACCATAGCAACTGCAGAATCACCACAACAGATTAACTCAAGTACTTTAATATAGTATGGATCTAAAACAGTGTATATTTAATAAACATTACTGTAGTATTTTTTCACCTGTGTGCACAAGTTTGACTTTGCGCTTGAAATCTTTAAAGGTGCCCAACCTCTGTCTTCCAGATCATCGTGTATGATGAGGAGTGCTTCCAGGGCCGTCATCATGAGTTCACCTCCGAGTGCTGCAACGTGATGGAGTTTGGCTTCGAGAGCGTGCGTTCACTGAGGGTGGAGAGTGGAGCGTGAGTCTTTACACTAGCCATTTACACAGTTTTACTCCATTACGAAGTCAAAATTATTCACCCTCCAATTATTATTTTTTCTCTTTATCAAATATTTCCCAAATTATAATAAACAGATTCTGGAATTTTTCAGTTTTTCCTCTAACATATTTATATATTTTTTTGTAGAAAGTCTTACTTGTTTTATTTAAGCTAGAAGAAAAGTAGTTTTTAATTTTTTAAAACCCATTTTGAGGTCAATATTATTAGCCCCTTTAAGCAAGATTTGTTATGTATTGTCTCCAGAAGAAACCACTGTTATACAATGACTTGCCTAATTACCCTAACTTTACCCTAATTACCCTTGTGAAGCCTTTAAATGTCACTTTAAGCTGAATACTAGTGTCTTGAAGAATATCTAGTCTAATTTTATGTGCTGTCATCATGACAAAGAGAAAGGATTAGAAATGTGCTGAAGAAAATCTCTGTTGAACAGAAATTGGGTGACAAAATATCCAAGAGGACAAAATATCCAGCTATAATTAGGTTAATTTAGATCAAACTATACAAACTATAGTGTAATTTGACTTTACTTTAAGAATATATGTATTTGCAAACACCTATTTTAGGAGAAAAGTGTCTTGTGAATACCTACGATGTCAATCGGTGCTGTAGATCAGCCGGTTAGACTGTTGAAGGATTTTCCCGCACAAAATGATTGGCGCGATTATGCGTTCACAATGGTATGATCCGTTATAGGGGTGGTTAAATGTATATTTATAGTATCTATTATTGTAAATATTATTAGTATTATTTAAAATACAGATGAAAAACACTTCTTCGTATTATTAAATAACTGATCTGTTTACATTTTGTTTTGATGTCCTTCTGGGGTTGATTAAGCTTTAATTAGCACGGTTATTAATCCCCCCTGTAATTCGCACCATGATCATATCCCAGGCAGTGCTTAAGTGCCAGAAGTTAAACACAAACATTTAATTCTTTGTTTTTTCAGTCACTAATCCTAAATTTGAGCAATGGTAGCGGTGATTCTTGGCTTTGTGTAACAACCGTGTCCTTATTCTGTGTGGCATTCATTTATATGACCTTAATTTGATCAGGCAGGTCACTTAGGAAAATGTTTTGATGTTGGGAGGATGAGGTCGGGCTGAAATGAAACGCTAATGTGCTGTAGCCAAGAATTCATTTTAAAGAAAAAGATTATTGAAGTGTGATTTACAAGAGCAAATTAATTCAGTCTTTCTACTTCACATTAACTGTAAGGCATGGAGTTACTTTTATTATTATTTTTCTTTATTTTGTAGCTAAGGAAAATGTTTTATTTATTTTTAAGCATGTTTTAATATAATATTTAGAATTTGTTTTATTATTTTACTTAATAAATAACATCTAATCATGCTATTCTGTAAAATATTCTTTAAAGTAGTCAATAAACAGACTATTGGAGAAAAATATTATTTTCTGGGGTAAATGTTTCTAATATATATATCTTCTTTTACACTATTATAGTATTATGTTAATATTTTAGATAAGCTTTCACAGTTTTTAGTTGTTGGTTTATTATTTTTAGATTAAATTTATCCCATTATGTTTTTGTCATTTTTATGTTTATTTCATTTTTTGACATTTGATATTATATTTTATTTATTATTATTTATTTCACTTAATTTTATTCACACCATTCATGCTTTATATTTTCTTGGTAAATAAGATTTTATTTTAGCTTTATTTTGAATCAGTATTGAATAAAATAATAATAAATAATAAACAAATAAAGAATATGAATAAAAGTAAATAAATATTTTTAAAAATACATGTAAAATATATTTAAATATAAATTAATTAAGATAAATTTTAAATAAAATTACAAATAAATAAAAACACACTGTTTAAAACTGCTTTTTAGTAACTTTCTTGGACATAAAATCAGAAAAGTACTAAGATACTAAGAAAAGATAGTTTCTGTGTAGTTTATTGTTGAGTTTTTGCACAGATGTTTAACCGCTGTGTGTTTCTCCACAGGTGGGTCGGTTATGAGCACGCTTCTTACCAGGGTCATCAGTTTGTGCTGGAGCGTGGAGAATATCCTCAGTGCGACTCCTTTGGAGGAAGCAATGCTTACCACATCGAGAGAATGACCTCCTTTAGACCAATCTCCTGCGCCGTAAGTCCAGCTCAGCCAATCACATCACACATAAACTCACACAAAAACTGCTATCAATGGGTTTTGGGCATTGCTTTGATCAGATCAGAGTGAATATTAAAATGTATTTCTTCTAAATGTGAACGTTGTCACTGTACTGAAGCACACTAGCTTATGGATATCGTTAAAACTAACATACTGATACAACATCTACTTTAAAAACTTTATTTTCTATTTATTCATCTCTCTGCAGAACCACAGGGAGTGCAGAATGACCATCTACGAGAGGGAGAATTACCTGGGCCGTAAAGGCGAGCTGAGCGACGATTATCCTTCCCTTCAGGCTATGGGATGGTGCAACAACGAAGTGGGTTCTCTGCGTGTTCAGTCCGGAGCGTGAGTATCTGTTTCTGCTCTATCAACACTATCCTTGCCAATTCAGAATTAGTGGCTAATGCTTAAATTTGCATCTCATTAAACAGTTTAGCACAATTTGCTTATCTCGATCTCCGGTTGGGATTAGAATCTGGAACTAAAAACAATATATTTTTTTAGAATGACTTTTGTTTTTAAACTAAATTTTTTTTAAACTCAGCAGATTTTTATAATGAAATTTACACATTTTTTTACTACTACTCTTTTACTTATATATATATATATATATATATATATATATATATATATATATATATATATATATATATATATATATATATTACTATTTAATTCAGTGTGTAATTGGTATACATTTGTACACTGTAATTCTAATATCTTAAATGATTTGCTCATCTCCATCTCCTGTTGGGATTGACATGTGAAGCTTTTTTATTATTTTATTCTCTGCAAAAAAAGTATATATATTTTTCATAGAAAACTCTAAAATAGATATAAATAATGTGCATTTTTTATTATTTATTCTCTGAAAAACAAAAATAATAATAATGCCTTAATTTATCCTAAAAACTAGCATGTGGACTGATTTTTATGACTGAAATGTACAGATTTTTAATTGAAAACTCTCAAAGGTAAACAAATATAATGTGGAGTGTTTATTAGATTTTTTCTTCTAATATTTTAATGTTTTTTTTCTTTTTTTAAACTTTGTGACTAATTCATATGAATGTGCATGATCTCATTCATTTATTTTAGTATGATCTGCTCATCTCCAGCTCCAGTTGTGATTAGAATGTGGATCTTTTTTTTTTTTTTACTTAAGTACTTCTCTTCTGAAAGGTTTATTGATTTTTTTACTGAAAACTCTAAAATACATTAAAAATAATGTGCTTTTTTATTATTTATTCTCTGAAAAACTGAAATAATAATAATGACTCTACTTTCCTATTATTTTACTGAAAACCCAGCAAAATGTGCAAAAACTAGAACGTAGACAGATTTGTTTTTACTGAAATTTAGATTTTTACTACAATCTTTTACTGAAAACACTCAAAGACATGAAAACAAAAAGAATATGTACTATTTACAAGCTTTTTATGCAAAAAAGAAAATAATTCTATATTTTTCATATTATAATTTATGAAAATTATATTAATTCATTCATTCATTTTCCTTCAGCTTAGTCCCTTTATTCATCAGGGATCGCCACAGCCGAATGAACCGCCAACTAATCCAGCATATGTTTTACTCAGCGGATGCCCTTCTAGCCACAACCCAATACTGGGAAACACCCATACACACTCATTCACACACACACACACTCATACACTACGCCCAATTTAGTTCACCAATTCCCCTATAGTGCATGTGTTTGGACTGGGGGGGAAATATACGACTGAACTCTATGAATTTGTAAATTAGCCACAAACTACTAAAAGTAGAACAGTTTCATCACTCTCCCTATGTGATTTCGGCTTCACTCCTCATCTCTGATCTCCGCTTGTCTATTTTTCCCCCTGGCAGGTTTGTGTGCTACCAGTTCCCTGGTTACCGTGGATACCAGTACATCATGGAGTGCGACCGCCACTGTGGCGAGTACAAACAATTCCGTGAGTTCGGTTCTCATTCCCAGACTCCTCAGATCCAGTCCATCCGCCGTATCCAGCAGTAACGCATCCCTGCTCCCTGCCAAATCTCTCATGCCCCTTTCTGCCCAATGCTAAATAAACTGTCTTTCTAAAACCTCACTGACCTCCTGTTATACATCTGTGTCCAAACACTCAAACACGCATCTGCTGAAGCCTCACAGAAACACAGAGGAGTTTTGGACACTTTCAGACTTAAAATAGGGATATGGTGTGCATTTAATTACACATTTAGAATTATTATAGAAGTAATTATTGGTGCAAAGATATGGCAAATAGAATGTGGACTTCATTATTTTTTTTCTGCAAATGAAATGTAAACAATGAAATAAAAAGTGTATTTCAAAGGAAATTCTCTGCAACAACAACAAAAAATTATATATATATATATATGTATATATATATATATATATATATATATATATATATATATATAATGACTTATATAATATAATAATAATTTATTACTGAAAGATATTTTTAAAATAATTTGATTTTTAAATAATTTTTTCTCTGCAATAAACAATATTTTTTTTATTGCATTAACAATAATATTGTATTTTTTTCATTATAATATGACTCATATTTTCCCAATTTTTTTTACAAAAGAATTGAAACAAGAATAATAATTATAATAATAAAGACTTTTTATTTTTATTTTTTTACTGAAAACACTGTAAAAAATATGTAAAAACTACAATGTGGACTGATTTTTTTTTCTACAAAAAAACTTATTTATGTATGTATATACAGTTGAAGTCAGAATTATTAGCCCCCCTGAACTATTAGCCCCCCTGTTTATTTTTTCCCCAATTTCTGTTTAACAGAGAGCAGATTGTTTCAGCATATTTCTAATCATAATAGTTTTAATAACTCATCTCTAATAACTGATTTATTTTATCTTTGTCATGATGACAGTAAATACTAGACTTGATATTCTTCAAGACACTTCTATACAGCTTAAAGTGACATTTAAAGGCTTAATTAGGTAATTAGGGTAACTCAGCAGGTTAGGGTAATTAGGCAAATTATTTTATAACGATGGTTTGTTCTGTAGAGTATCTGAAACAAAATTAACTTAAGGGGGCTTATAATTTTGACTGTATATATTATATATTTATAGTATATATATATAGTATATATTTTATTACAGAAAGCACATGAAAAATAATGTAAAACTTTTCTCTGAAACAAAAATAATAATGACTCTTATTTTGTTTTTTTTTAACTAAAAATATGCAAAAATGAATGTGGACTGATTTGTTTTTCACTGAAAATTATTTTTTTTTCTACAGTTTTAACAGAAAACACTCAAAAGACATAAACAAACTAAATTTGGACTTTTATGCAAAAACACCCACTTTATTTATTTATTTATTTATTTATTTATTTTGATCTAAAAACACCCAATAAATGCCAATGTTTGCTCATTATTAGGCATATTTAAAATTCATTTGATGACAATTAAAGGTGTCACAATTTGAGCCCAAGATACTCATTAATTGTCATCTTAAAGATTTATTTTTTGCAATCGTCCTTTAAACCACTGTGTTTATTTTAATCAATTTGTGAGAAAGAATTTATTCATAATTTCAAAGAGAATCACATTTACACTCACCATCCACTTTATTTGGTTCACCTTACTAGTACCAGGTTGGACCTCTTTTGCCTTCAGTATTGTCTTAATCATTGTTGGCGTAGATTCAACAAGCTACTGGAAATATTCCTCAGAGATTTTGCTCCATATTGTCATGATAGCATCACACAGTTGCTGCAGATTTGTCGGCTGCACATCCATGATGCCAATCTCCTGTTCCACCACATCCCAAAGCTGCTCTATTGGATTGAGCTCTGGTGACTGTGGAGGCCATTTGAGTACAGTGAACTCATCGTCATGTTCAAGAAACCAGTCTGAGATGATTGAGCTTTATGACATGCTGCGTTATCCTGCTGGAAGTAGCCATCAGTAGATGGAGACACTCATACTTCACCCATATTTTGATATTTATTTATTTATTTTTGGAAAGGATGCATAAGTCTCTTGAATCCATCATGCTTTCTATATAAAAAAACCCTATTTATTTATTTATTTATTTAGATGCATTTTCTCCCTTTTTCCGCCAGAGGGGGCAATAATCATACAAGCCACATGATCACAAATAATATCGATAATAAATTAATCAGTTTTAAAGAGAAACTCGATATAATCTGAACTCACTGAACAGAACAGCATGGTTTAACCTGTTCCTAATTTAAATGTCACTGTTTGTCAGACTAAATCGCAAGATCAGGAACTGAAACAAGAAACTCAAACAAACCAAGAAATCTGCATTTGTTTTGTCCAGATGCAGTGTTGATAAAAGAGGTGGGATGCGCTTACACAACCATTTTTATTTAGATAACATGGCGCAGGCAGCAAAGCAGAGCTTCCTACAGTACTACGCTCTAGCCGTGGGTCATGAATATTAATTACGCATGATGACGTACGCCGGTAAGCCTCACTGATTTGCTGGCAGATGAGTGGGCGACATTCAGACGGCGAATTGAAAAGTCCTTCTATGGGGAAGGTTTGAATCATGAATATTAATGAAGTAACGTGACTGGGCGCTTCAGGAAGGTTACTAAGCAACGTCAGAAGGATCTATTGAATATGCATGAGTCAAGCCTTCGCTGTAGTAACTTTGGCGCGTAGTTTCTTTTTACAAAGAAGAGAAAGAGCAAAATATAAGATCGAAATTAAATTAAATGTACGATAGATCCGTATTTCGAATATAAGATTTAAATATAATATACACATACAAGGTTATTCATTCAAGTCTAGATGAGATACAGATCCTCACATTCAATATAATATTTTTTGTGACAGTTTAAAACAATTTATATGGTTTTTGTGTTAGTGTGTGGTAAGTTTGGGGTTGGGGTTGATGTTAAAAAAACAATATATTTGGTCGTTTAATAAATAAAATAAAATAAATCCCCATCCAGAGCTCTAAATATATATATATATATATATATTAAAAACAAATGTTAAGGCTTTAAAATATTGTTGTTTTTCTTTTCTTTATTTTTCTGGTCTCTTTTAATAAATGAAGCTAGTGACCCATTTCAATTTTAAATTTAGTAAAATGTTATTGTTACTGGGCATTTACACTGAATTTTCCATAAATAAAAAATAAATTCATTCATTATATCATTTTATTTTTGGCTTAGTCCCTTTATTAATCTGGGGTCGCAACAGTGAAATATACATATATTTAAAGTCAGCATTACTAGCCCCCCTTTGATTTATTTTATTTTTTTATATTTCCCAAATGATGTTTAACAGAGCAAGGAAATTTTCACAGTATGTCTGATAATATGTTTTCTTCTGGAGTAAGTCTTATTTGTTTTATTTTAGCTAGAATAAAAGCAGTTTTTAATTAAAAAAAATTAGGGACAAAATTATTAGCCCTTTTAAGCTCTGAAAGTCTAAAGAACAAACCATCGTTATACAATAACTTGCCTAATTACCCTAACCTGCCTAGTTAACCTAAATAACTTAGTTAAGCCTTTAAACATCACTTTAAGCTGTATAGAAGTGTCTTGAAGAAGTGTCTAGATAATATCTAGTCTAATATTATTTATATTATCATGGCAAAGAGAAAATAAATCAGTTTTAGAGATGAGTTATTAAACTAATATGTTTAGAAATGTGTTGAAGAAATCTTCTCTCTGTTAAACAGAAATTGGGAAAAAAATAAACAGGCGACTAATAATTTAGGGGGACTTAAATATATTATTAAAGATATTATTTTAGGACCCCGTTGATTTCAAAACATTAACATTACCATTAAGCAAAAAATTTTATACCTCCTATTTTATCAAAAAGATTTTTATGGATGGTTTATTGTTTATATATATATATATATATATATATATATATATATATATATATATATATATATATATATAAACTTTTATATTTATCTTTAATCAAACTAAAAGATTGTAAATGACTCTTTTCAGTGTTGTTGCTACTTGTATACTTTTTGTTGTTTTTTTTGCAATGTATGTTTGTTAAGAAACTAATTTGATTTTATGATTATATATTGTATATTTATTAGTATATGTTTTGCCATAATTATATAGCCATTGCTGCTGATATGGCATTAAAACATAAATTAAAAAAAATAAAAAATAAAAAAATAAATGTACTCGTCTCTTATCGCTTCTTTTCCTCTAGCAAAACCCGTTTTTTCTGATCATTCCCTGTCCGGTCTCACTAGAATCCAGCTCCGCGTCATGACTCTTCCCGCTCCGTGTTTTTCAGAGCTCCAGCGCCGGGTTTTGCGCCGCACTGGCCGCTGGGACTCTGGGAGGAAGTGCAGCTCTCAGAAGAGCCTGAATTTCACTTCACGACGCGCCGTGGGGCTCAGCTCACACACAAGCACTAAAACAAGAAAATACTAGCATATTCCCATCTGGATTAACCACAGGGAAACCTCAAGAAGCACTCTTCCCCGGAGGCTCTGCGTGGAGCCGGACTGGAGGCTTTTATGCGGACGGATATTGTGTTTTTGTTGAGTGATGTCGGAAGAGATGAAGACTTGGATCTGCGACCCAAACACGGATGGAAAAGAAAAGAGTGGTTTCTTTCGGTAAAAGCGTCGAAAAATCTAAACCTAAATCTCTTTGGGAGGAAAGCGCGTTTTGAAGAGTAGAGCGAAGCGTGTTTGGGTTAAAAGCCACGTCGTGTTGTTGTTTTTTTTCTGTCGAAACTCGTCCATATAAGCGGAGTTCGAGACGCACAGCCATGCATATGAAGTTCCGCAAGATCTAGCGCACAGATTCCAGCTTTAACGCGTGTTTTTTGTGTACTGAAACACCACAGTAGAGCGTTTTTTCAGTGTTTACTTGTCTCGAGGGTTTCATCGGACCACGTTTTGTGACACCACTCGATTATTATTATTTTTTTGTTTTTAGAAAAAGGAAACTCGGATTGCTGTCGTTCACATTTGCTTATTTCCTTTTCTAGCGCCCCCCCTCTCATCTGTAAGGTTACAGTAGAGCAGTATCTCACAGCACACCTCGTATTATATAAATAAAGTGTCGAGCAAGCAAATCCATTTTTGTTACCGAGAGGAACTGCTGTGCTTCGCACGGCACAATGCAACAGACTTGTCACTTTAAAAATAAAACAGCGCAGTTTAATTTCTCCCGTTTAATTGGCTTGTGAGATCAAGGAGATCAGCAAACAGGAGTGACAGGCGGATCTCGAGCATCTAAAATGGGGATTTGTTTGTGAGATCTGCAGGGTTTGACGCTCAGATCTTCAATTTTCGCGGATTTGGATGCAAACCGCGTCGCATCGACAGCCGTTATTTATGTTTCTCCACGCAGATTTCCACCATCTTTAAGAAGAGGAGGATGCTATATGTGTATGAAACCCTTATTATAAGTGTGCTAAATGTGATTGAACGTTAGCGCATACTAACGTCAACCGTCCGTTTTTTGCTTTATTTTTAAACCACAAGGATACCCCGCTCGTTGACATAGCGTCAGTTGTCGGTTTTAACGGTCGTTTTGGCTATCTTGATTTAGTGGTCAGTTCGTTATTCACCCGCCATCAGTATAGCTCGATTTAACGTCATTTTTTGACGGTGTTTCTACCGGTGGCAGGTGGGTCGTTCTCGGTGAACTCACCCAAAGGGGGTGGGTGCTGGATGGGGGGCTTCTGCAGGCTTCCATCGCTTAATCGATATCATCACCATCTAGAAGAAGTGTTATTATTTTGGAGGTGATGCCACGCACGTATGTTCTTCTTCCTCCTCAGTGAAAACAGAAGCCATTTCTGCAACTCCACTGGATCTGCTTCATACACAAGCACGCCGTACATTTATTCTGTGGATTTTTGTCTCATTATGGTTGATTTCTGAGAGACTTCAGAAGGGGAAAAACACGACTATTAAAACCCCGAGGCTGGAATAGATGTTCGCGCCTCTCTCGCGCATCAACATCATCATCTTCTTCATCATCAGATCGGCTCCCGCGCTTGTCTCGTGCTGAGTCCGCCCGCGCGCGCACCATCACCGGCCCTCGCGCTCCCGCACGGCCGCCTCCGGTACCGTTAGCGACTCGGTTCGACCCAGAGGGCGAAGATGGCGGACCTCGAAGCAGTTCTCGCCGACGTCAGTTACCTGATGGCGATGGAGAAGAGCAAATCGACTCCAGCGGCCCGCGCGAGCAAGAAAATCATCCTCCCCGAACCCAGGTGAGCAAAAACGACCCCGTTGATGATTTCCGACATGTTTTGTTGACATGTCAACACAATCGGCTACTAATTCATCTGAATGTTTGCCTTATCTGATGTGAACTGTGCAATTTTATCTTTTCGCTTGAAATTCTGTACCATCTTAAGCAATGGCTTCTCATTCTCACACTGTTTGCTTTCTTTCTCTTCATAAAAGTGCCATTATGTTTGGAGGTAAACACCATATTGGGTTATTATAACAGTGAATGTTACATGTCTTGTTCAGTAATAAAGAGCTAGTTCACCAAAAAATGAAAATTCTGACATGATTTACACACCCTTTTCTTTTTTTTTTTTTGCTGAACACTAAGGAAGATATTTTGGAGAATGTTGGAAACCTTTAACCACTGACCTCCACAGTATTTGGATAATGGTTTCAGGTTTTCAGCTCTCTTTAAAGCAGCTTATTTTGTATTCAACAGAAGAATCTCATAATGAGAGTGCATTAACAGTGAGTACATTTTCATTTTTGAGTGAACGATCTCTTTAAACTACTGCCTAGTACTATCCCATAGCACCTCTACAGCACTTTATTCTAAGCATCTGCAAAATCCTGATTATTGGTTGTTCGTTAACTTAGAAAGCCAATGTGACACAATTAGTGCTGTGTTTAATGTTTTTGAGGTTATTCAGCAGTTACTGAGTGAGGCCTGCTGGGAAAATTCCCCCATGTGAATCAATGGCTCTTATCACCTGTAGATTTGCAGTGATATTCACTGTAAACGGGTCGAAATTCTGATATTGGCTTCACATTTGGTGTTGCATACTCATTAAGGCATACAAATTCCTTTTGTTGGTGTTTTGTATGGCTGTTTTGAATGGTGAGACCTTGGAAACGTCTAAGAAGACATTGTGTCTATTGTACTGTAGTATGACATGGTGAATGTGTGTAGTATGCTCTTTATATCTCATTTTTGGTTTATGCATTTACCTGTTTCTTTGCACAGTGTTTATTTGCACATGGATACATTCAATATATTGGTTTCTATTGCATTCAAATCACACATCAGTTTAAGGATAACATTGATCAAGAAAGCGTATTACCAATTTTGTAGATAACCAGATTAAAATTAGAGCTGGGTGATGAGCAGGGCCACACAAAATCTGCGGACTTTGCTATTTTTGCACAGAATTTTGTAAAAAAAAATGTCTGCAAACATTTGGGAGTATCGTAACTAAAAATGTTATATATTAATACATACCTTTTTAACTTTTATTAAATGTTTACAATGCAAATCCAATTAGATTCACTTAGTTGGTAAACAAAGCAAGTCTTTTATATAATATCTCTACTAAAAGACAGAAAATATTACTTACAAACTATATTATAAATTTTATTAATTTATAATTTAATTTAATAATTTTCATATTAGTCAAATATTTTACTGAAAATAAAAACTGAATTAATATAAATGTACGTACATTTACACAAGTAAATAAAGAGACTCAATGATGAGCTGGAAATCTGCGGATTTCTGCACGCGCAGTTTCCACGTGGGCCTGGCGATGAGACACAAATCTCATATCGCAATGCAAGTCACCTCATGTCCTGATAAAAATATATATCACTAGATAGTACTGTTCCTGTAAATTCAACCAATTAATATATATATATAAAAAAAAACACTATTTCTTTTTTACATTTTAAAGTTTACGTCTAGAACTCTACTACTTATTCATATGTGATCATATTTCTCACCTTATGTAGAACTTCATGGAAGATTCCAGGTTAAAACATGGTGTCCACGTGATCTTAAAAAGTATCAAAACTTGATTAATCAATTACGAGAAAATTAAGGCTCTTAAAAGGTATTAAAAAGTCTTAATTGTGTTTTTACGAGGTTTTAAATTTTGTTTAAGCTTTGTCCAAAGTGTTTGACTCCAAATTTTTGGGAGTCAAATTTTTTCGCGATTTGTTTGGGTCGGGCCGCCCCGGCCAAGCTCCTCCGTCCAGGTGATGTCATGTAAATTGTGACAAACGCATGAAGGTGATGTGATGCTTTCCACATGTAGTAAAACCATAGAGTGAAACACACGGGCAAATGGGAAAATGTAAGTTTGTGTACTTCTGGTTGGAGAAAGACAAGTTTGAACAGTGGCTGAAGCCTGTCACTGAACACAACTACGTAATTTACTCTTGCAAGCTGTGTTCTTGTCTGAGTTCTGTTGCACGGTTGTGCTCCATTGATTTATTTAACGACAACTGTGTATCAACAGCAGTTTATTAAGTTAAAGGTTTGATACTGATTAGAACTTGTTGTGGTGATGGGGTCTTCAAATATACTTTAAAAAAAGTCTTAAAAAGGTATTGAAATTACCTTTAGGATTCCTGCATAGATCTTCCACAATGCTAACAGCTTAGCATAAATCTCTGAATCACAGGCCCTTCCCTGTCATCTGGAGCCACGCCTCCTGAAACACGTGCACAGCAAAAGAACCCTCTCTCATGTGCTAAAAGCAACTAGTGCTTGTCCGGCGACGTGCAAGCCAAACTGACATGCTATTTCAGAGCAAATATTTAGAGTTGCATGGTAAACAATATAGGGAGAGGCTAGACGGAATATCGGTATTTACTTGTGTTTTGTTGTTAAACTAATTAAAATCTACATCATCGATGCTGTAAAAGGCCCTTATGAAGCTGAAAATAGTCTTTTCAATCTTTCATCGAAAGATTTTAGTAGCTGAACAACACTTCTGTGAAGATATAACCCATTTGTAACAACAACATCTAACGTTACATCAGCTTTGCGTGAAGCTAAAACAGTTTTATAACTTTACCTGTATAAGAGAAATCCTTCTGACATATTGTCATCCTATCTCCAGCGTGCAAAGGTAACTCCAATAGATTCAGATTTTTAAAAGGTTTTGATTCAGCAGGTTTTTACCAATCGTGCGCGCGTGCTCTCTCTCGTGAACGCGCGGCGGTCGGCGGAGCTGCGAACAAACAGCTGTGCAGTTGTTCAAATCTGCATTTGCTGACAGACAGTTTGGGCTACTTATCGGAACTATGAGAGATGTCGGTCTGACTCTATTTAATTGGATTGATTATTTTTACCCAAAATATAAAAATACATATAAATACATTTAGATCATTTACTGTAATCAGTACTATTAGACTGTGAAGAGACTTTCAACCAGCACAACAACAAATGCTTCTGAAGATAATCACCTACTACACCTTTAAAACCGCCAACATTTTCTGTAATACCGTTCCTAAGGTATGTATGTGTAAGATTTGTGATAAGATGTATGTGTGATATTTTTATCCAAGGTTATCATACTGTCAGAATCTTATACCGGCCCATGCCTTATCTGCAATAGTCACATCCCGGGAATAGATTATGTATTAAAGAATAAAAGATTAAGATATTATTAAATTTGATACAATTATGACCATGTTTTTTTTACATTTGATTGTTTAATTTATGTTCTTAAATACTGTTAGACTCCTCGGAAAACCATAAACCACTGTTTTTTTTTTTTCGTTTTGCTTGTAATTTATTATCATTTATGCAGATGCACTGCATAGAAAAAGACTTGATCATCCCAGATGATCTAAATTAATGAAATCTTTCCAAATAGAGCTGTAACTAAATGTCACAAACAAAATATCGTAATGTCAGAGTTTTTTCAACATCGTTCAGCCCTAATTACCATAATATAATTTGTCCATACGATATACAGTTGAAGTCAGAATAATTAGCCCCCTTTTGATTTTTTTTCTTTTTTAAATATTTCCCAAATGATGTTTAACAGAGCAAGGAAATTTTCACAGTATGTCTGATAATATTTTTTCTTCTGGAGAAAGTCTTATTTGTTTTATTTCGGCTAGAATAAGAGCAGTTATAAATTTTTTTAAAACCATTTTTGGGACAAAATTATTAGCCCCTTTAAGCTATTTCTTTTTTCGATAATTTACAGAACAAACCATCGTTATACAATAATTTGCCTAATTACCCTAACCTGCCTAATTAACCTAGTTAAGCCTTTAAAATATACTTTAAGCTGTACAGAAGTGTCTTGAAAAATATCAAGTAAAATATTATTTAATGTCATCGTGGCAAAGGTAAAATAAATCAGTTATTAGAAATAAGTTTTTAAAACTTTGATGCTTAGAAATGTGCTGAAACAATCTTCCCTCCATTAAACAGAAATTGGGGAAAAAAATAAACGGGTGATAATAATTCAGGGGGGCTAATAATTCTGACTTCAACTCTATATCATCATATATTGCGCAGCACTACTTAATTAACCAATAAATAAGTAATTTTATCAATCAGTTCATCAAAGAAAAGACCTAAAACTCAGCTGAATACCAGAATAATCGTTGTGTAAAATGTCATTAATTGAATCAGTTCATTTACAGAAGCCATTTCACATTATCTAGGTGTTCAATACTTGCCAATCAGAAAACAAATACAGCTCGAAGTCCATATTCAACATAAAAAGACACCAAAAAAAAAAAGTTAATTATGTCCTTTGTTGGGTTTGATAGTACCTGATCTCTCGGATAAATCACGTGAGGAGTCCCTTGTGTATATTGTATTTTTTATGGCAACCGTAAAAGTGATAAACCGTCCATGCCTTCACTGTTTATGCAGTTATTTGGCCATTTACTGCCCCATCGGGAGACTGTAACACTGTGAATGTTCTCTACACCTTCTTTTGGTAAGAAAGCGAGGCCAATGCAAAAGGAAATCATATTTCAGATTTCATAGTTGGCTCATCTCGCGGAATCACCATGGCGACTCTACTGTCAGTTTGCGATGTATATAGCCTGTGGTTCAACACAAAGGTTTTATTGTAGAGTTTACACGAAAGCGTGTCTCGATATAGCTTGCCTGTTCGTGAAACTGGAATATGTGGAATGTTTTAAAGTTTATATAACACTCAAAGGTGATTAGTGATCTCACAGAGAAGCTGCAGGTTTTGTTGTCAGGTAAACAGATTAGACTTGTCTA